GCAGAAATACACAAAGTGCCTCAGTTCAGGGTCATCTCCACTGTGGATTTTTGCTTCTCCCCACACTGCTGGGGTGGCTGAGGGTTCTCTCTCCCCCCAGGCCCTGGAGAAATACTGCAGGGTGGAGGCTGGCTTCTCTGGCATCCGGGACGTGTACACCACCACGCCCACCCACGACAACATGCAGCAGAGCTTCTTCCTCGCAGAGACCCTCAAGTAAGTCTGGGCTCCCAGGGGCCGTCCCGAGCAGCACAGCTCCTGCAGCAGCTGCCCAAGGAGCCTCAGATGATGAGAGGGAGGTCTTCTCTTCATAGGGGAGGTGTCCTTGCCCAGGGCAGGGGGCTGGAACCAGGGGAGCTTCCAGGATCTTTGCAAGCCCACCCATTCTGGGGGGAAACTGGGAAGGGCTGGAAATCTTTGGGAGCAGAATCTCTGCTGCCCTTGGCCCCCTGAAGGCTCCTGGCCAGGGCTGGGGCTGCAGGGCTCTGCTGTGATCCAGGGCTGGGTTACCTGGCAAGGGTGGGGATGTGCAGGGAGGTGGGAGTGTGTGCCGTGCTGCTGCCTGGGCCTGCCTGGAGCCCTGCTGAGCTCCTCCAAGCTCTCCTGTGTGTCCCTGTGCTGCAGGTACCTCTATCTTCTGTTCTGTGAAGATGACGTGCTGTCCCTGGAGGATTGGGTGTTCAACACCGAGGCTCACCCCCTGCCCATCAACCACACGGACTTGAGGGCAGCAGGGCAGCCCTGAGGCCCTGCCCAGCTCCTGCTGGCCCAGCCTGGGCAGACTCTGCTTTTCCTTTCCATTGAAGGAATTCCTGCTGTTCCTGAAATGGTGTTTTGGGGCACTAGTCCAATTGCGGACAGGATTTTCTCGGGAAGATGAACCATGACTAAGCACCTTCTTTTCCTCTGTGAGGAGCTCTATTAGGCTGATGATGAGATGTTTATTCTGGGCCATACTGTACACAGTTCATAGACATTCCTTTATACAGAGAATTTATATGAAATCCACTGATTTTGCTTTATAGTGGCCAAAGGACTGGAAGTTTGCCATAAAATAGACTTTACACCCACACAAACACACACACACACACACACATCCTCCTTTCCTTTCTCTGGTTCATTTCTGCCTTTTGTCTGCTCTTGGATTTATCACCTTTCCAGTGAACAGCTCTCAGTGTTCTGGGATTTCTGGTGCTCTGGGGGCTCTGCAGGAGAATGAGGAAGGGGAGTTGTCCTTGGTTTGGGAGAGCAGCTGGAATTGTTGGGGATGGTGAGGAGGTGCTGGGAGCTCAGGAGTGAGGGGAGGACAGGGACAGGTGATGTTTTGCTGGGAAATGAGAGCATCAGACCCTGCACACACAGGAGCAGCCTCAGGCTGGAATTTACAGATTTCATGGGGGAACTTGAACCACCCTGATCCCCGCTGGAGAGGTAACTCAGGAGCAATCCTGGAGGCTCCTGGAGTGAGAAATTCCTCCTGCAAGGGACACAGGAGCCAACAGAGAGAGCCCAGAACGAGATCCAAGGCTGTGGATGGTGAGTTCAGGATCCTGAGGGCACCAGGGAAGGGGGAAAGCTCCAGCCTGGACCTCTCAGAGGGACAGGTGACACAGCCCTGGGGGACAGGTGACACTGGGCTTCAGGTGGCCCTGCCTGAGCACTGTCCCCTCCAGCCTCAGCCATTCTGTGACTCTGCGGTGTCACAACTGTAACTAAACCAAAATCCTTGCTCCTGATGTATTTTTATATACTTTTTTTTTTTCTGTGCTCTTAAAACACATTTACCACCCATCACATCTCATTTAACTTTCCTTTTATTGTTGGGTTTTTTTTGGTGTTTTTCTACTTTTATTTGGAACTAAATGTTACGAGTCACTTGTAATAATTTTACTGCTGTAATAGTCAGATCTGTGAAACAGAATAAAAGTCTTGTAAAATAAAAAGCCTGTTGGGGTTGATCCTGTAAAAGACCGGTCACTCCATGCTTGGAATGAGACAACACTGGATTTAAAGAGTGGATTTGAAGAGTTTTGTGCAGTAGAAGTTGATTTCTAGGGGAATCCAGGCGGTGTTTGACAGCAATTCCAGCTCTGTTAAATGCTGGATCTGGGATCAGATTCCCTCTGATCACTGCACAGCTCTGTGGCCCCGGGGGATGGAACATTTTTATTTTTGTTCATTCTTGTGACAGCCTCGTGACAATCGGTTCATTCAGCAACTCGGGGGAAAATAAAGTTGCTTTGAGCAAGTTGTGAAAACAGAAAATGTTGTTTCTAAATTCCTGCCTTTGTAATTCCCCGAGAGAAATAAGATTGTCAGATGGGGACTTAGCATTATCCCAGGGATAAAGCTGCTGCCTGCTAAGCCTGGCCTGGAGGAATGGGTGTTGGTAAATAAACATCCTGGGAGTGAGCTGTGTTATCCGGGAGATTTGGGCATGGGGAGCTCTTGGAGCTCAAAGGATTCCGATAATGGATTAAGGGAATTTCTTAAATAAGAATGACCTGCTCTTGGAGTAACATGGAGCAGAATTTAAACCCTCAGAACAAACAGTGTGGCTCTGGTTTCCTTCAGGATCAGCTCCATGGCTGGTTTCCATTTCTCACAGGTGAGTGGCACCATCCCACACCTCCCAAGGAAGTTTCCTGCAGCTCAGCACAAACCAGGAGCTGTTCTGGCCAAGGGGAAACCTGGGATCGTTTCTCCTGCTGGGTGGAAATCTTCCCTGTTATTATTATTTTTAGGATTCCCTTTGATCCAGGTGTGCCTGGGTGGGCCCCACAGCAGATGTGTGGATATTTAACATTCTTCAAGAGTGCTGTAATCCCAGCGCCCAGAGCAAACCCAGAGAGGTTTGTTCTCTTTCAAGGAGCAGCAGGCACCCTGAATTATTCCACCTTTTCTCTTTCATTCGAGTTCTTATGGAGCAGAGTTCCAGGGGAGTTTTCTGCTGTGCTGCAGAAGGAATTTTCACCGCATGAATCACAAATTTCCCCCCTGGTTCCACTGCTGGGCTCCTTTGCTGGTCCCATCCTCATCCTCCTTCCCTTAATGGCTTGGTCATGCTCTCGCTCATCTCCATCCCCAGAGTTCTTTAAAGCTAAAACAAAAACGATTAGGCAGGCTTAGGATACAGCAGAGCTTCAAAGGATTAAAGGCTGGCGCTGGCTGCTTCCCTCGGAGAGATCAAACATTCAGTGCTGGCCCTGCAGCAGAAATCTTCCCTGGCTGTGGGGGATTGGAGGATGAGGTGTGGGGAGGGGTTAAAATAATAATAAATTTGTGTGTCTAAATAATAATTCTGTGTGTCTTGGCCCAGCCACTGCTAAGGGACAATGTGACAGCAATGCCACGGCTGTGGGAGGAACGCTGATAACATGGGAGGTTGAAAAGCTTGGGGTGGAAATGACCCAAAATGTGACCCATGGTGGTAAAAATGACCCAAAATGTGGGGATGATACTGGAGACAGAACGCTGAGCACCATCACCCCAGGGCTGCCAAGTCGTTCCCATCCCCTAATTCCCATTTATAGAGCTCAAACCTCAGCAGAATCACTGCAAGTGAACCCACCGATACCTGTTTTATTAAAAAATACCCATTTTGGTCAGCTATAGCCAAGTAGAAGTGCAGGATACGGCTTTGGGGAGTGCAGAACAAGTCCAGGGTTTTGTTCTTTCTGGGAAAAGTTGAATTAAGGGCAAAATGGGGATGTGGGGATGGACACACACCCGTGTCTCCCATGGATAATAAAGAAAAAGTCCTTGGAGACAGAGGATGGGGTTCATCCCCCCAGAGCCCTCACAGCAGAGAAATTTCAGCCTAAAAAGCGCTTTTTCCTGAACAAGTGCCGCTCATTCACCATTTAGAGTGGTTTTATCTTCACAAGTGCCGTTCATTTAACACTAAAATGAACTTTTCCCTAACTGGGATTTAACACTAAAACACATTTTTTCCTTAGCGGGTGCCGGTCATTTACCACTAACACGATCTTTTCCCAGACGCACCGACTCTCATTTACCACTAAAACACATTTTTCCCTGACCGGGTGCCGATATTTAACACCACACAGCCCCTTCCCGTGAGGGAGCGGAGGTGATTTAACACAAAAAGGGTTTTTTATTCCCCGCGGGGCCCGCGGCCCCTCCTCGGCCGCCTGACGCCTCCCCCGGCCGGGCGGCCATGGCGGCTCCGCGGCGCGGGCCCGGCGCGATGGCGGGGCCGGGGCCCGGAGCGGCCCCTCCGCGCCTGGCGCTGGCCCTGGCGCTGCTGGCCGCGCTGCTGGCCGCCAAGTACTACCGGGACGCGGAGGCGGCGCGGCAGCAGGTACAGAGCACCGGGCACCGGGTACAGGGGCGGGGACGGGCCGGGCGGAGCGAGCGGGAATGGCGGGCGCGGCCCGGCCGGGCTGCGTGAGGGGAGGCGGCGGCACCGGGGCTGGGGGGGCCGTAACCGGGCTGAGGGGACACCGGGGCTGAGGGGGCCGGAGCGGGGCTGAGGGAGCTGTAGACGGGCTGAGGGGGCCGTAGCCGGGCTAGAGTGACCACCGGGCATCGGTGAGGGCTGAAGTGGCCATAGCCAGGCTCAGGGGGCACCAGAACCGGTGGGCACCGGGGCTGAGGTGGCTGTGGCCAGGCTGGAGTGACCACCAGGCATCGGTGATGGCTGAGGTGGCCATAGTAAGGCTGAAGTCACCTCCAGGAATCGATGGGGGCTGAGGGGGTCTAGCTGGGCTGGAGTGACCATCGGGAATCCATTGCCAGGGTGGTTTAGGTGGTCACCACCGGACTAAGAGGAGTATTGGCATTGTGGCTAATGGGGCTGAGGTGGCTGTAGCCAGGCTGAAGTGACTACCAGACTTGGGGTGACCGCTGGGTTTGAGGTGACCAGCAGACATCTGTGCCCATGAGGGTTAAGGTGTCGCAGGTGTTGGGGCACTGCCAGGCATCGGTGGCTGCTGGGGCTGAGGTGGCTGTGGCCGGGCTGAGGTGACCACCAGGCATTGAGGGGCTTAAGGTGGACACTGGGTTGAGGTGGCCAGGCTGAGGTGACCACCAGGCGTCACTGGGGGTTCAGGTGGACACTGGGTTGAGGGAGATGTGTCAGCACCTTCAGCAGGTGCTCAGCAGAGCTGTTACCTCTTTGCAGAGCCCACGATGCTCATCCCCATTCATTCAGGGAATAAAAGCAGGTTAACTGTGGTCAGTCCATAGTGCGTTGTCCCTGTGCACAAAAAAAAGTCTCCTTTCATTTTTTTGTGTCCTTGGCCATGTCCTCATCCACATCTTCGTTTTGAGCTCCAGTTTATTTCAGTCTCGGCCCTGGAAGTGCCCTGGAAGGCTCTTAAGTGCTTTTGTAGCTGCAGTTGATGGGAGCAAAGCCTTCCAGGCTGCATTAATGCTGCTTCAGGCTGGCAGGCAACAGATGGAAAATAAACGGGCTCAGGAGCTCTGGGGATGGTGCTGCAGGCAATGGAGAGCAGCAGAATGCAGAGCGTTTGTGCTCCCAGCTCCAGCCTTCTCCAGGGTGGCAGGGCAAGCTGCTGGATCCTGGGGCATGTGCCAAGGGCTGGCTGGCACTGAGGGCTTTGCCCAGCCTGCTCTGTGTCCCTCCCTCCTCTCACACCAACCTGGAGCTCTTGCTCTGCCTCCAAGTTGTCCCTTTGCCTTCAGACTGTGGAGTGGAAATGTGTGGAAGCTTCCAGAGCCCTGCTCTGAGGGAGCCACCACCTTGGTGAGCCCTGTGGGGGCTTGGCAGAGGGAGAAACTGAGGCACAGAGCAGCTGGGATCCTGTGGAAGTTTCTGGAGAAGGCCATGGGTTCTGTGACTCCCTGATGGGTGGATGGCTGAGGGAGCAGGGATCCAGAATATTCCATCTGCAAGTCTGGAGCTTTAGAGGGGCACTGACCAGAGCAGGGCAGTGATGCTGGAGTGGATCCCACTACAAGTGGAGGTTTCTAATTCCAAGGGCTCAGCTCACTCCCTCTGTGCTTTAGGAATGTGGTACTCACATATTTGACTGCCTTTATTTGCACATCAGCTTATCCCAGCAATTACCACCTCCAGGTGCTCCCAGATCTGCAGGTTTAGGACTCACTAGCTGGAAAAAGTGAGGACTTTTTCTGGCAAAAGGCTCTGAACGTGAGCAAATGGTTCAGCTGGAATTACTCAGGCAGATGTAGGTTCAGTGTCCTCGTGCCAGCAGTTCCTGGACACATTGCAAACAGCACCAAAACCTGCCAAGGGCCGTTCATCTTCCCCTGGATGTGCTGGGAAGGATGGGATCAACTCCAGAGGGGCCACAGTGGGCTCCTGCAGGAGATTCCAATGAAATCTCTGTTGCCTCTTCTTCCCAAACCAGGAGCTGGCTCTCAAGTCCTTGGGGAATGAAGGGCTGTTCCTCTTCTCCTCCCTGGACACCAACAAGGACCTGTACCTGAGCCCAGAGGAGTTCAAACCCATTGCTGAGAAGCTCACAGGTGGGTTCCTGTCTGATTCCCTGCACAGAGCCAAACATCATGAACCCCACAGCTTGAATTCACTGAATGTTTTATTCACTTTATTGTTTTCTGGGTCTTATTTACACGAAGAGAGGCTGTGAAGCTTTTCATGTTGTTGGAAAGGCTTAAGCAGCAGACATCACTGTGACAAAGTGCAGTTTTTACAAGGTGGAGGATCCCACTGCTGGACTAGCAAAGTACATAAGTGACTTTGTGTGGAGCTTAAGGGGGATTTGGGATGGGTGAATGGCACAAATGCAGCTCAGGCCAGGCCAGAGGCACCAGAGAGGGCTCCATTCAGCTGGGGCAGCTCTCCTGGCTGGCAGCTGGGGGAGATCATCTCTGCAGGCTGTGTCAGCACAGAGCAAGTGGCTCTGCTGGTGCCAGCCAGGGAGAGTGTGGGCATGACAAAGGACATGGGGACACAGACAGGGATTGCTCTGCTCTCCTGGACTGGCTCCAGCACGTGCTGGGATGGGGCTGTGAGTGTGCCTGGGCTTTGCAGCCAGGGAAACAGGGAATCATGGAATGGTTTGGGCTGGGAGGGACCTCAAAGCCCCTCCAGTGCCCCCCCTGCCATGGCAGGGACACCTCCCACTGCCCCAGGCTGCTCCAAGCTCCATCCAGCCTGGCCCTGGGCACTGCCAGGGATCCACAGCTGCTCTGGGCACCTGTGGGAACAATTCCTCCCCAATGTCCAACCTAAACCCATCCCCTTCCACTTTAAAGCCATTGAGTTCATCCCCTTCCCTTCAGTTCGTGCAGCCAGAGCTGGGTCTGAGTTCTGCTCTGTGGGATCAGCTGAGAGACCCCCAGTGCTCCTGGATTTGCAGGATAAACGTGTGATCACTTCACAATTACATAAAAGGGGAGGGAGGGGAAGCTGCTGCCTGAGTTCCTGTCCTTGTGCCCAGGGGTTGCTCCAGTGTCAGAGTCTGAAGAGGAGGAGACACCAGATCCAGATGGGGAGACTCTGTCCATCGTGGCCAAGTTCCAGCCCCTGCTCATGGAAACAATGACGAAGAGCAAGGATGGCTTCTTGGGAGTAGGTGTCCTGCAGGGCCCAGACTGTGGGATAAACAATCTGGGGGCTGGGAACAGCACCAGGAATGTGCTGGGAGGGGACAGGGTCCTTGCTGTGACAGGGACCCCCTCAGCATTGCAGGCTTTCAGCACACTCAGCTGTGCCCTGCCCCAGTTGGAGCACCCTCCCTTCCTGGGGAGCTGGGAGCAGGAGCAGAGCTGCCTCTGCTCATGGCGTGTTCCCTCTGCTCTGTTACTCACATTCTTGGAGGCTGACAGAATGTTTGGTGGGGTACGAAGAATTTGGGATGTGATGCATTTTCCCTCCCTTTTCCAAAGCCTCCCTGCATCCATGACATCACTGCACACTGGGACACTCCTGTGGGCTCTGACAGCATCTTCTGTTCCAGATTTCCCACGTGGCTCTGTCTGGGCTCAGGAACTGGACAGCCCCAGCAGCCCCCATGAGTGTCCTGCTTGCCAGGCAGTTCAAAGCCTTCCTCCCTCCAAAGGACAATCTGGATCTTGGGGAGCCATGGTGGATCATTCCCAGTGAGCTGAACATCTTCACTGGGTATCTGTCCAACAACAGGTTTTACCCTCCACCTCCCAAGGGCAAAGAGGTGAGATATGACACTCAGATTTTATATGTGTATCCCTGTTTTCTAGGGAAGCAGGAATTCTGCAGTGTATAGCCAGGAGCACCTAAACTGGGGGCAAAACTGAGAGCACGCAGAAGCTCTGTGTGTGTCTGTGACGAGTAACTTCATCTTGTTTGTAAATTGGGTGGGACTGGAGGATAGTTACCCCAGAAGGGATTATTCAGAAAGGCCCTGGGATCATTCCTGGTGGAACCCTTAGGTGCCAGGTGGGACCTGTGTGTGCCCAGCAGGTAAAGCCTGGCTGTGCATCCCCTCCCCTGGCTGCATCCCACCCCTTCAAGGCTGAAGCATTGGCACAGGCAGCCTTGCACTTCAGTTTGCTGTTGTGCCTGGGCTGATGGAAGGCTGCAGCCCATGGCAATGGCACAGGAACCATGGAAGATGGATTTCTTTGTGACAGCAGTGCCTTGCTTTGTCTCCTTGCTGTGTGATTAGGTCGGTCTCTGAGCTGGCTGTTAAATCACGGCCGTTCCCTGACCTTCCTGCTCAGGTGGGGGCTGCTTTGGAGCTGTGTGGAGGAGCAGTTCTCCCTGCTGTCCTCAGCCCTCCTGCCGTGTGAGGAGCAGTTCTCATGGTGCTCCTGCCCTCCCTCAGGTGCTCATCCACAGGCTGCTGAGCATGTTCCACCCGCGCCCCTTCGTCAGGACGCGCTTTGCCCCGCAGGGAGCCGTGGCCTGCCTCCAGGCC